ATCTCGGCTTCTCTTTCGGCTTCGGCTTCTTGGCTTCTGCTGCTGCTGGCGTCCCCGTGACGCCGCCCTTAAAAAGCAGTCTTAGCTCAGCTGAATCCCATGTACCTATGCCCACACCCTATTCCAGGTGCCCGCCATCAGGCATGCATTCAGGACAAGGATCCATCATCTATCCTGATGGCGGAAGGGCAGAAAAGCCTGATATTTTCTTTACCCTACACATCCCTAAGTAGTTTTTTCTTTCTTTGCTTTTTTTTTTAACTTCCATTTTTTTAGCTATCCAAAGAAAGCAGTTGATTTATTTTTTGATTGGTAGATTTAAGGACTTTCCCCCAAATAAAATATAAAAATAAGAGTGTCAGTCACAATGAATAGTATTTTATCCTATGAAAATATCTTGCAAGAAATTTGCATTAGATTATGGGACATCCTTCACCAGAAATGGCCTATGGAGTTTTGGGGGTTTAGTGATGAACAGAGCATTGGCGATTTTGATACTTGATTTATTTCTGTCAACAACAATATTTCAGATGTACTCGTCTTTATCCAAGAAAACCCAAGCACATGGCATTGACAGCTGCACAAAATAAAATAAATCCCTCATTCCTCCATTTGGGTAGTTAAATTTTAAAAAATGAAGAAATTTGTCGGGTCACTGAACCAGTTCACTGAGACCTTGAGTGGAGAAACTTTAAAAATATGTAACTCCCAACTTCTAGTCCTCCATAATGAAAACTTAGCTTTCTTTTATTTTACTAGCTTCTGGGATCTCTGAAAATATGGACCATGAGCCAAATTTTATTCTTTCTTGATCAACAGCAGTCAATGTAATTATAATTAGATCTTTACTTGAGATGATATTTTTTCAAAATAGAGATCTGTACACTGCACCAATCTATTTACAACCAATCATTCTATTAACATTCTCTTAGGTGTTACTTTAAAGTACTTTAAAGTCTTAGGTGTTACTTAAAAACCCTTCAGAGAGGAAGGGAAAGGGGAATTAACAGACACTGTGCACCAAAATGTGCCCGGAAGCCCACCAGATATTTATAATTATGACTTCAGTGAATCCTCCCTACCATTTGAAAGGAAGATGTTTTTATTCTTACATATAAAAAGATATAAGCTCAAAGAAATTAAATAACTTGCCCAAGATAATACAACCAATAAGATAGTGAGAATTGGATTCTGACCCCAGGATTCCTGACTCCAAAGTCCTTGCTGATTAAAAGAAAAATTTACATAGCAGGCCAAATTCCTTGCTTTCACATTCTCCTAGAGAAGGGAACATGTAGACACAATGAACTTCTTATATATAAAGCTCAAGTAAATATACTGACTTACTGAAGAGTTTGCTTTTTTCCATAGACACTCCCAAAACAAACCAGAACCTTTGCAGAAAATAATTTTGAATTTTCTGTCACAAAATGGATAAAGTAGGGACTTGTTAACTGAGGATAAATATTGATAGCAATTAACACTGTTTGGTTTAAAATGTTTTACTTATCAAGCACTATCATAAGTGATATCATTTCCAATTTCTATATACTATCATCACCTCTGATAAAAGTAACATGATGACATCTGGAATGGGTATTCTCGTTCTAAAAGTGGGATCAAAAGATGATTTATGAAAAATATGAGGCTATGTATGACATGTAGACTGGTGCTGGAATACAAATTTTCTAATTCTTGGTCCCATATACTTTCTTTGTAACTTTCTCGATCATCTTATGAGTACAAATTATAATGAAGGGACTTCTTATTTTAAGAATGTAACTTGCTGGGCCTCCCCTGGTGGCACAGCGGTTGAGCACTAGGCTGTAAAGCTACAGCACCAGTTCAATCCCCAGCCAAAGGCGAGGGTTCCACATGGTACGCAGACCTCTCCTGCCACGCCTGCTGCTCCCCTCAGCAGTGTATTTCATTGGTCTGCCTGTTCTGTTCCCCACTTTGGCTCTGGTGAATTCTCTCACCCTCCCACACTTCTGACTGTACCCAGTGCTTGTATAAATAAATAAATAAATCTTTAAAAAGAAAAAAAAAGAATGTAACTTGCCATATGGTTGATTACTTGACTAAAAAAATTATTTACTATCTTACTGTAGAGTATGACCAACACTTAAAATTTTTGGAATTCAGAGCATGTCTATATTGGAACCCCACTGTCTTATTTGAAGGTGACTTTATTTGTGTCAGACATTGCCATTCTACTTTCTAGGTCCCTGTTTCCTTTATATATATTTTTTTCCAACAGGGCTTGTAAGCATGGGACCTTGGAACATAGAACAGTGGCTGGTAGATACCAGGTAAAAGTGGAGATTAGGGCATGCCCAGAGTACCTTCACAAACAGTTCACCTTCTCAGAGAAGTGACTGGAAACAGTGCCCCAGGGGCCCAGGTCACATTACTCAATATTAAAATGGTAGATTGCACCATCACAGCAGAGGTGCAAACAAGGGAAAACAAAACTAAACTCAAGTGTATTACTTACAGAGGCAATGGGGTGAATCAGAATCTAGGTGTGTGGATCACATCACTGAGAGTCTGATAATTCAAGTCATAAAGGTAACAGACATGGGATGTTTTAATTATTTTTCTCATCATCTTGTATAGATTTGAAATACTTTAATAAAACATATGAGAAGGCAAGAGAAATTCTAATCTTGGCCTGCTGCTCAGTGTCATAATAAATAATTGAGAAAGAAAATTTTAGAAAGAAGAAATTCATTTTCGAAACTACAAAGAAATTAGCCTCATGTACATGTCCACATGCATGGAAGACACAGCCACAAGCCACATCTTGATCAACATGAGTCTTCTCCAAATAGACCATAAAATCTATGGAGCAAGGCATCAATCCCCTGATACATAGTAAGCCCTTGTTGTCAAATAAGTGAATGAATTATGAGTGTGTCTAAAAAGATAAAGATAATTAAAATATTCAATTTTTATTATATTTGTGATAGTTTCCTTTTTCTTTTTATAATATATTCATTATTTATATAAGCACTAAAGGATTCATATCAAAAACAAGAGGTCAAAATATATGTTACTTTGGGCCCAAAGAAGAACACTTGTTAAATAGCCCAAACTCTCAGGAATCCATCTATAAAGGTCAGGAGAATACCCCTACCTTTATCTCAAGTGGCCCATCCCTTCTTGCAGGGGAGATATCAATCTAGAATTTTATACCACATCTACCAAGAGGTAGACTGAACTATCAGGTCCTCATGCTAGCCAGATGGGAAGTTACAATAGTCAGGGTTCTTTGGAGAAACAGAAGCAAAAGAAATGTATATATAGAGAAAAAGATAATTTTTTTTTTTTTAAATATTAAATTTTATTTTTATATTCCCCCATACAATTGCAAACGCCCCATTCTGACCCCAATCCTTCCCCTCCCGCCCCCCCCCCCCCAAAAAGTGTCTCTGGTTCATAGTTTTTTTGTTGATTTTGATTTTCACTTTCTTATATTCATTTTCCTGGTCCCTTATTTAAGTTTTCTAGATTCCTGCTATGAGTGAGACCATCCGGTATTTTTCTTTTTCTTTTTGGCTTATTTCGCTGAGCATGATCCCTTCCAGTGCCATCCATGTTGCTGCAAATTGCATGTGTTTATCTTTTTTGAATGCTGAGTAATATTCCATGGTATATATGTACCACATCTTCTTGATCCAGTCATCTATTTTTGGGCATTTGGGTTGTTTCCAAAGCTTAGCTATTGTAAACAGTGCTGCTATAAACATAGGAGTGCAGGTGCTCTTTGGAATTGATGTTTCTGTGTCCTTTGGGTAAATACCTAGGAGTGGAATTGCTGGATCATATGGAAGCTCTATGTTTAGTAGGTCCAGAAATCTCCACACAGCTCTCCATAGTGGTTGGACCAGTTTGCACTCCCACCAACAGTGCACAAGAGTTCCTTTTTCTCCACATCCTCGCCAACATTTGTTGTTGCTAGTTTTTTTAATATGTGCCATTCTCACTGGTGTGAGATGGTATCTCATGGTAGTTTTGATTTGCATTTCCCTGATTACAAGTGATGTTGAACATTTTTTCATATGTCTGTTGGCCATTTGCATTTCCTCTTCAGAGAAGTTTCTTTTTAGCTCTTCTGCCCATTTTTTGACTGGATTATTTTCTTTGTTGTTGCTGAGTCTCATCAGCTCTTTGCAGATTTTTGTGATCAGTCCTTTATCATTAGTGTTGGGTGCAAAAATGTTCTCCCAGTTGGTGGGGTTTCTCTTTGTTTTTGTTATTGTCTCTTTTGCTGTGCAGAAGCTCTTTAATTTGATGTAGTCCCAGCTGTTTATCTTTCTCTTCACTATCACTGCTTTGGGTGATGTGTCTGTAAAGATGTCTTTGATGTGCAAATCCCGTAGTGTTTCGCCTATATTTCCTTCTATGTATTTTATGGTTTCAGGTCTTATGTCTAGTTCTTTAATCCATTTTGAGTTGATTTTTGTGTATGGTGTGAGGTAGTGGTCAAGCTTCATTCTTTTGCATGTAGCGACCCAGTTTTCCCAGCACCATTTATTGAACAAACTTTCTTTGCTCCAATGCATAGTCTTTGCTCCTTTGTCAAAGATTAGTTGACCATAAATCTGTGGGTTTATTTCTGGATTTTCTATTCGATTCCATTGGTCTGTATGTCTGTTCTTGTTCCAATACCATGCAGTTTTGATGATTATGGCTTTGTAGTATAGTTTGAAGTCTGGGAGTGTGATGCCTCCATTTCCTTCTTTTTTTTTCAGTAGAGCTTTGGCTATTCGGGGTTTTTGGTGATTCCATATGAATTTCATCAATAATTGTTCTATTTCTTTGAAGAATGCCATTGAGATTTTGATTGGAATAGCATTGAATCTGTATATTGCTTTTGGTAGGATGGCCATTTTAATAATGTTTATTCTTCCAATCCATGAGCAGGGGATGTCTTTCCATTTCTTTGTGTCTTCTTCTATTTCGAAAAAGATAATTATTTTAAGGAGTTGACTCACATGATTCTCAGGATGTACCAAGGTTTTCAGGATGAGTTGGCACACTGTAGACACAGGAAAATCAGTGGTTTTGTTCCAGTATGAGTTCAAAGGCTTAGGAACTAGGAATGTTGATGGTGGAGCATGAATCCAAAGTTAGGGGAAAATCCAGTGTCCCAGGATGAAGGCTTTCAGTCAAAAAAAACAAAAACAAAAACAAAAACAAAAACAAAAAAATTTCATTTTACTCATGGCAGGATCAGCCTTTCGTTCCATTCAGGTCTTCAATTTGGATGAGGCCCAGCCACATTACGGAGGCAATTTGCTTTATACTCTATCTAGCAATTTAAAAGTTCATGTCCCACAAAAATATCTGAGCACCCCATGGTGCAGTCAAGTTGACACATAAAATTAACCATCATTTGAGTCCTTTCAAGGGTTAGGACCTTCATTTCAATCCATGCTGTATGGCAATGGTGATAGGTTTGAGAAACCTTCATCTTTCCCTATACAGTCCAGCACTGCATATTCAGTCAATTGACAGACCACATATACAATAAAGGTGTTATAACCACTGTACATCATAGTGTTTCATGCAGGCAGTAGCCTCATTCATCTCATATCTACTGTGATTCTTCATAGCATCATTTCCCCTTATATTTGATTTAATTTCATGTTGTTTTGTTCATTGTAGTCCCTAAACATACAAAATCCACTTCTGATGTTTCTAGTAAGAGGCCACGTCAAGTAATTGACCTGGAAATAAAAAGAAAAGTGACTTTCTATGAAAGTAGAAATTCAGTGACAATTATTACTCACCAATTAGGCAAGTCCCATTCTACTATCACTACCATCTTAAAGGACAAGAACAAAATAAAAGAAGCTCTTAAAAAGATCTGCTTCATTGAAAGCAATGAGACTAACAAAAATTCAAGATACAAAATTTTTCTCCATATAAGATATGGAGAAATTTCTAATGATCTGGATTGATGACCAGACACAGACGTGTATCTCTGAACACCATGACATTCACGGCCAAAACAAAACCCTTGTGTGCTATATTGAAAGAAAAGACTGCACCCAACTCCAAGGTTTAAGTATACTGTTGACTTGTCATTCACTACAAAATGTGAGAATGAGTGGTGAGCCTATAAGTGCTGATGTAAAGGCAGCTGAAAAATTTTTGGAAACTCTATATAAGCTGATTATAGAGGAAAATTACTTGCCAGAGCAAATCTTCAATATGGACGAAATCTTCCTGTTCTAGAAACAGATGCCTGAAACGAATTTTATCCATAAGGAGGCCAATTCAATGCCAGTTTTCAAGGCTGTTAAAAAACAGCATAAAATTCTTGCTTAGGGGCAATGTTGCAATCTACAAATTAAAACTCTTTGTGATCTGGCATAGTGAGGATCCCAAGGCCTTCAAGCAAATCAATAAGCACAAGCTACTAAGGGAGCAGTAAGTGTACGACAGGACCCAGCTGTTCTTCCAAGATACTGTCATGAAGCTGGCATATTCTCTTTGGAGAATAACATACCTTTCAAGATTTTAGTTATTGTTGATAATGTTCCCAATACTCCCCTTTTATTGGTGATCTTCATCCCAATAACAAACTTGTGCTTCTCCCTCCAAACACCACCTTTTTGATCCAACCAATGAATCAAAGATTCATAGCAGGTTTTTTTTTAATATTTATTTTTATTTATTTATGCATACAGGAATTGGGTTGTAGGCCAGAGGTTGGGGGGGTGAGAGGATTCACCAGAGACAGAGCAGAATAGACGGATCTACTGGAATACACTGCTGAGGGGAGCAGTGGGCAAGACAGGAGAGGTCTGCTGCACCATGTGGGTTAGCTCCCTGGCCAGGGATTGAATCCATGTCACAGTGGATGGCAATAGACTGATAGTGCTGAGACTTTAACCCCTGCACCACCAGGGAGGTCTGATTTATAGCACTTTTTAAGATCTACTACCTGAAGAGAGCCTTTGTCCAGGCTATTGCAAGAAAGGAAGATACTGAGAAGATACTGATGCAATTCTGGAAGGACTACAACATCTATGACTGCATCAACAACCTTGTTTGGGCTTGGGATGATGTCACCAAGGAATGTATGGGTGGCTTCTGGAAGAAGACACTCAAGAAATTCATCTATGACTTCAAAGAATTCACCAAGGAAGAGGAAGTAACAAAAATCAACAAGGCTGTGTTTGAAATGGTTAGAAATTTTAACCTGGGTGTGGATGAGGATGATGTCAAGGAATATCCAGAGGTGGCTCCTGAGGAACTGACTACTGAGGAGTTATTTGGAATGGAACAGTAATACCTAGCTGAAGAAGAGTCAAGAGAAAACTGCAGGAGAAGAGAAAGAAAAAGAAGACCCTCCCCCCAAAAAAAAAATTCACAGTGAAAATTTAGCAAAATCTTTTGCAGACCTCCACAAGTTCCTTAAAATGTTTGAAACATGGACCCCAGCAACAAAAGGAGTTCATTAACAGAGAGAACTTTCATGGTGTATTATTAGTTTACAAACACATCTACGTTTAAAAAAAGAAAGATACTATACTAAACATATATCTGAAAAGGACAAAATCTCCTCAAGAAGAGCCCCAGCAGTTGTCTCAGAGTGTATCCTAGAAGAAGGCATTGTTATCACTGGAGATGACAGTTTCATACAAGTTATTGCCCCCAAAGACCCTCTAGTGAGATGAGATGTGGAGGAGGAAGACAGTGATACTGATGATTCTGACCCTGGGTAGACCCAGGCTCACAGGTATGCTTATGTCTGCGTTTTGAACAAAAAATGTTTAAAAAGTAAAAAACTACAAATTTGAAAAATAGAAAAATGTTTCTAGAATAAGGATAAAAGGAAAAATTTTTCATACAGCTTTATACCATTTTAAGTTAAATGTATTACAAAAGAGTCCAAAACATTAAAAAATTAACAGTTTACAAAACAAAATAGTAAGGTAAGGTTCTCATTGAAGAAAGAATAGTATGTTTTATTAGGTGTGGTCTAAGTGTACAGTGTTTATAAAGTCCACAGTACAATACAGTAATGTCCTAGGCCCTCACATTCACTCACCACTCACTCACTGATTTACTCAGTGCAATTTCCAGTCCTGCAGGCTCCATTCATGGTTAAATGCCCTATACAGGTCTGCCATTTTTTTTCTTTTATATTGTACTTTTTCTACACCTAGATATGCTTAGATACATACATACTATTGTGTTACCATTGCCTACAGTGTTCAGTACAGTAACATGCTGTACTGTACAAATGAGCAATGAATAGGCTGTTCCATAAAACCTCCCATCTCAGTTGGTATAAGTACACTCTATGACATTTGCATGACTTCAAAATCTCCTAATGATGCATTTCTTAGAATGTATCCCTGTCACTGAAGTGACATATGACTGTATTGTTCAGGGCTCCTACTTGCAGGCCACAGAAATCAAGTCTGGTTAACTCATACACAAGTGTCTGTTGGAAAGATATCAGGTCCCTGACAACATGGATGAGGAAGGCTGATAAAGTATGATTTTAAGGTAGCAGGCACCCAGGGAGGCTGGGCAATAAAAATCAACTTACCAGGGCTCTGTCAAATGATATGTGGCCCCCAGTGAAGACACACAGCTGCCATTGCTATGATACCATCAGCAAGACTGTAAAAGGAATCTCATCATTTTTCTCTGTCCTTCACACTGTCAAGGTTGAATTCCCTATTGGAAGTGCCTGATTAGCTCAAACAGGTCATATGGCTCATATATCTTTATCCTGATGGTAGAGAGATGGGTGAAGAAGTATCATCTTTCCATTCTGGCTTCCTTAGTGGGAGGTGAGGTCTGTTGTCCACCTATATTACTGCGCTGAGGGATTCTCCACAACCAAGACTGGATTCAAATGTCAGGAAGCCAACAAATAGCAATAGTGCACTACAGTCCTGTTAGAACTTATCTGCCATCCACATGACTGCTTACTGCTTAGTATACAGTGGATTCATGGCAAACAGGCCAATTAGTAAGTTTGGCATGGGGAATTTATAATCAGAAGCAGGAAACAACATCTGAAAGGCAGTTTGCTACTTTGTGGATGGCCTTAGTGTTTGAGTCCCAAGCAGAAATTTTGGAAAGAGACCCTTCATCAATTAGCCTCCCGAAAAGAACTTAGTGCACATTGGTTATGCACCTGGTATGGTTCCAATAATTGCAAAAGAACAACTCTTGCAAAATAAGTAGGCCTCAGTCTCTACCCCATTGAGTTTAAGAACAACTTGCATGCTATTTTCACTTAGCAGGAAAGAAAAAGGAAGAAACTGTTAGAAGCTGGCTCTTTGCTCTGTCCAGAGTCTGTTTCCCATTACCTCCTGTATTTTCTGGGCTTTCTCTCTCCCTGTGCCTACAGGTTCCCAGTCCTGGATAGGTTCCCAGCCCTGGATAAGCTGAGTGTGGATAGAGCCAGTAACCTCACTCAGCGTTCTCACTATATGGGTTTCCACTATATGGAAACCAGATCCCTTTGAAAATCTGATGGAAGCTGTAGTGCTTCCCCAAGAAAAATGCAGGCCTTCACAAAATACCAAAAATTTTGCAAAAAAAAAAAAAAAAAAACCTTTAGAAACTTTACAAGCTCCCTGAAACACAAAGAAATTTAAGAAATCCAGATTAAGGAATTACATTCTAAGGTTAACAAAATAAACACCCTACATGAATATTTCTTCCTTCCTTTACCTTTAGGACTGAGCATAAAATGTAGTGGCAAGACCAGTTTCCTGCAGGAGAGACCTCTGAATTCAACCACCTCTCCCAGACAAGAGTTCTTGGCAACCATATTCACTAACAACTCAAGGGATTTCCTCTTCCACCTTTATCAATACTCCAGAAGGTCATTCACTTCTCTGTTGTACTGCAGTTTTAAACAATTCAAGTCCCCTATGATATGACACATCACAGTCCGTATGAGGTAGTTCCTGAAGAAGTTCAGTGGTGTTATTTTCATAGGCAGCTCAGGGTGCGCTGCCTCTAGAATAGCTGTTACAAACTAAACACTGAAAGCAATTTTTGCTTTCTTCCCTTTGCCATAAAAGCAAAAATCCTCTTGTGATTTATTTTAGTTGGTAAAAACAGGTACTGATACAGGTCTTCAGTAAAAGTCAAATGGCATAGCTCAAACACTTGAAAGTCATAGGATACCTACATAAGATCAATTTTGTCAAATACATGCTTTCATCAAAGCCTTCTGTGTTTCCTCTGCCTTTAGAATAAAGTTATAACTCTGCTTTTGATAGGTTTGTACTGTTAATTTAGCTAATCTGCAACTATATTTCGCCGTCTCCTTTCCTCAAAGGGTTCCAAGCCAGCAGGTCCCCCAAGGGAAGTTTGCCTAATATTTGAAAGGCAGGAGTGAAGGAGCAATCATTTTTTATGCTCTGAAGGTCTGAATACTCAGTTGTGGTGGCTCACACATGTGACTGGGGATCTTCTGGCTACTAGCCTGTAGTTCCTCCAGCTCCTGTCTTAGCTCATCTTTCAGCTTCACCAAGAACAGAGTCAGATGTATCTGCAGTCTGAAACAAAGAGCCACAGTTCTCCTGCAGGTGACCTGTGTCATCAAGGCTAGAGGCAATGTGGAGTCCAATTTGTTCATGAGGTTTTCGGTTTTTCCTCCTGAGTTTCCATTCCCTGTGCAATTTTTTTTTCCTGTCTGTCAGCCTCTAACCTATGGAGATTGCAGGCCCAACATCATGATAGG